GTCCCCGTTGCCAGCTGGCATCGCGAGGAGGTGACGATGGGACTTTGCGGCCGCATCCTTGAATTCAACGTTTGAACAAATTAATTGTTCGTATCCTTAAGGGAGGGTACTGAAATTCTTTCACCTCGTATCTGACCGTCTTTAGCTTCTTCTCTTTCTTGTACCGGTTTCTCCGGTAATTGCTCGTTGTGAAGGTCCTCCTGCAATTGATCTGTTTTGATAGTTGCTTTCACATTTTCGTCAAGCCCCCTACTCGACTGGTTCTAAGGCTCATTTCAATCTGGACTACTAGGTCATCTATCTGGCCTACAGCACTGGCTAACTTACTAGTTAGCTCTTCTTACGGCCCTCTGTATCTGATCGCTGCTCTGCTTCTTGTCAAGGTGTCTGCTAACCACTTCTGGCAACAGCTCCATCCCCATTTTGATGAGCTTAGCTGCTCTATTATGTTCTAATTTCTAAGTTCTCTCACCTGGCTAATTGTCCTTTCTTCGTTTTCATTTCCTTCCATTTTAGTGAATAAGCTTTATCTGAAAACACTTCCTTTTTTCCACAAGTCTCGGCTCAACACGACAATGAACGCGATAAACGGCAAAAAAATTTGAAGGGGAAATCGAAGAGCAATCAATAGAAGTGCTCCCGTAAGCGCGTGGATGCGTGGATTGATAAAGATTAGTTGATTCCTCACTGTAGTGATCTGTTCTTGGTCCTTGTCGAACTATGTGGGTTTGGTTGCTGGTTCTGCACCGGATCAATCAATCAGCTCGTGATCTGCCAGTCAATCAAGGCGTTAGCTCGTCCTCCATGTAATTGAGGACTAGTGTCTAGTGGTATTTTGCGTTTTTCACTTTGATAAATGGGCGCACGAGCAGATTGAACACAAGAAAGTTTATCCGGTTTATCTGTTTATGGCAAAACAAATAACAACAACGGCCCCAAGGCCAACAACGACAAAGACAACAAAAAACCACGGAATCGGGGGGAAGCGTGCCCATTTGACTCTTTGCAGAGCTTCACACGGCTACGTCTAGATCAATTCTCGGTGAGTTTTTACGTAAGAGGCCTGGCTCTGTCCTGACTAGTTTTCGACTCCCGCGAGCCTCTTCTGCTCGCGGCTCCCCCTTCTCTTTCCCTTTTATGCCCGGCTGAGAGCACCAAACCGCCTCTTCTTCCCGCCAACTCCATATTGATGATCTCCGTTTGCATCTTCCAACCAGGGAACTTTTTTTTTCACATTTTATGCAACACGCTTCCTTTCAAATAACATTATTTGAATTTTCGAGATAGAGTTTTTGAGTTGAGTTTTTCCAACCGCTCTAACACTCTTAGAAAAATCACCCTCAACAGCTGTCTGAAATGTTTGGTTTAAGCAAAAATCAGCTTTTTCTTCTGATGATGACTTTTTTCATTTACTTAGTATATGCTTGACTTATTTTTGCAAATTTTGATTTGTGTTACTGAAAGCATTGCTGAAACTTAAATTATAATAAAAAATCAGTCTGGTTTAGACCCATCCGGTTTTCCCAAATTTTTTTCTCGTCTATTTGACCTCAATTTGAGCTTCTAGGATTCAGTTTGAGCTTTTTGGCAACGGGCCAGAGTTACTCTTTTAGGATTTCAAGATTTGACGATACGTCAGACTGTCATCGATTTTTTGGCTATATGCCAAGGATCTGCCATGTGGACTGGGCTTGCCCTGTTGATGTATACTAAGATCTTGTAATTATAGGCGGCGCGCACGAGGTTATGGGGGCGGCTGAGTGAACCTAAGTTTCTTCCCACAAAAGTTAAGGTTAAAACGACGGCAGTCCCACGCAGAGGTGGCACCGTTTCGCAGCTAAAGTATATCGTATTGTGCTAAGAGCTCATGTCTGCTTGTCTTCATTCTCCTCATTCAGTGCTTAAATACATGTCAATGCTGTGCGCTCGCAAAGCTTCCATGCGGACGCGGTGCTCCACGTAAAATGACTCTCTTACTACGGGATAAAACAGACGGTATACCTTCCAATATCACGCAATGCTTTGCGCTCCATGTAAGGTCGCGAAGCACTATTTGAAGAAGTTGAGGAATTGAGTAGGGAACAGTCAGATCCAAACAGGACAACTAGTGGTAAACGACATACAAGATCGGTGCGAACGCGACAATTTTGGCCTGCAAACTAGGACAGACTGTATATTCCAAAACTATCTTTGAATTCAAAATCTAATTGTAGCTGTTTTTAGATGGTAGACGAAACCAGATGATTGATCTCATCAAATTTTAGAGCAAACGACTCGAGCAAGTATTACGATTTCCCATACTTCCCAGCTGGTGGTCATGAGGTACAAAGAAGGATAAGCCGAAAAGGTGCTAATCGGACAGACGCCTTCGATCCAGTCAATGAAAGAACGAACCTTAAAAAAGCCAACGTTGATTGCTGCCCTACTACATGGGAATTTGAAGGATTCCTCTCCGTATACGATTGGTACGTTCTCAGATAGACAAGCAGGTACAGATTTTGTGTCATCATAGTACGCGCATTCCGGACAAAAGCATTATAGCATCTTTAGTCGTCGCGAACGAGAGCAGCTACATCAGTGTGAATTTTGTTACTGCATCCTATGGGTAGGAGAAGAACCTCATTTGCGGTTATGGGGTTTTTCCCTTGGTCCGGTTAGACATCACAATGGAAACTTTTACTTCAAATCAAACAAAGCAAAAAAAAA